CTTGCAGCCAGCAGCTAGAGAGTCAGATGTGATCTTTGGAGTAATTCTGGAACCTCTCCACACATGCAGCCAGTTGAGCTTTCCAGCAAGGGTTGGGTGGTTTTCTTCTGGGTGGGAGGGTCCCTCTCCCCTTTGGCTTTTACCCCATCAATCATACCTTGTGGCTGTGCTTCTTACAACCTATATTCTGCAAACCTCAATCTGGGGAGGCACCATTCCCCTTGATTGCTCTCTCCAAGGCACCTTCAGAAAGGAACTTAAGAACAAAGTGTGATGTGCTTTTCAGTTTCAATGGGTCAGGAGTTTTCTGGTCTTTTGGGATGGTCAGAGCACCAGATTGGGGCAGAATATAAAGGAAAGTTCTTGCTGGAGCAAAAGGTGACTCTCTTTGCAGCACTCAGATCTGGAAGTTTCAGATTTGCAAAAGTTTAATTTCCCAGAAGGTTGCCCTGAACCGTTTTTCTCCTCATCTCTGCTGTACAGTGGCTGGATTTGAATCTCAAAGAAAAAGTTCCTCCTTCTTTGCTGCTGCTTTCTCGTGCCTTATATTTGACAGACGTGAACCCCAAACCGATGGTGGTGAATACTACTGAGGTGAGCAAGTTTTGAAGCAATTACTGCCAAACAAACCTGGTCTGTTTCCTGATGGGAGAGCAAAACTAGGAGGCAAGGGATATCAGCTTCTCCCAGCTTGGTATGCTTCAGATGTGCATATTGTAGTCAGAAGTCCCTGGAGGGTATGTTCACTGCACTGCAGTGGATTTTTAGATCTGTTGGAATAATCACATAGGCTTATTCTTAGGCACACCTATAGTTCTTGTAAAGGAAGAGAGGCAAACATGTAGCCTCTGGATTTTGTTCAACAGCTTGCATCATCCTTAGGAGAGATGGAATCTAACTTACATGAGACAGGCTTTGGTGTGGGGTACTTAATGGGTTTGTTTTTTGATGAGGTGGTTGAGGGACAATGCTGCAAAGAAGCAAGGGTCATTTTCTCAGTAGGTAACTGAGGGTGGGGTGGAGGTTGTGGGGGTGTTCCTTACTTATCTGTATATGTGCTTGTGCATATATATTATACACACAACTTTGGAGCTTATATCACAACTGTCATGTATTTCCTGTTTTGGAATGGTGAGAAATTATGCCACTGGTTTTCAGTAATAATATCACCCAAAATTTTTATGGCTCTGGGGCTCCAAAAAGGAGCAACAGATTATCCATCTCTATTTTTGGAGGTATTTTGTCCTGTTTGTAGATCTCAGAGAGATTGTTGATGTCTCCCCTCCCCTCCCCTCCAAGGAAATTTTGACAAAGTTAAAGCATCTACAGTTGGCAGTCAGTTACTCATCCTATTACATGAACTACACAGTGTTACTCTAATTTGAGAATAAGATGTACCATAGCAGGATACCAATCAGTATGGGGGTTAAAACAAGGATGGATCTTGGCCCCCTCATTGTTTAACTTCTATATCAATGCCATGGTAGCTGCCTTAAATAAGGAAGATTTCCACCCTCCCAAACTGGCAAATAAACTTACATCAGCACTGCTTTCTGTAGATGATGCTGTCCTATTATTGCAGACACTGTTAGGCCATGAGAGCACTGATCCATTTCTGTAAGGATACTCATTACGGATCAACTATGAGAAAACAAGACAATGCATTTTGCAAGGGGCTTTAGAAGATTGACTTGGACCTTGAGGTGCATAAAATACATCAGGTTCCCTGTTTTAAAGACCTGGACTTTACATGCAATATTGGGGGAAGCGACATACACTGCCCAGGTGTTCTGAATGCCCAGAGCAGTTCAGCATGTCTCCCCTCCCCTCCCCTCCAATATAGACCAACTGCATTGGAATTTTTTGAAGCCACAACTCTGGTGCTGCTCTTACACAGAGTTCAGCTAAACCCATGCATCACCTAAGATAAACTACAGAGAATCCAAGCCAACTTCCTAATAAAGTTATTCGAAGTGGCAAAATCTGTGTCTAACTTTGCCTGGTGTCTGGAGGGAGGGCTGATAAAAATTGAAACGAGGGCACGGGCATGTTGTATGTGATTAAATATTCACTAAACGCTCATTTTCAACCTCAGGGTCTGACATAGCTTATTCTCATGCATAAGTATTATTCTTCCGGGAAACATCAGATAGAAGATTTCAACTGAGATGGCAATGTCCCCGAGACCAAAAAAGGCTACACTAGTTCTCAGACAAAGGTTTCTCAGCGTAGATCTACAGTGACAGTAAAACAGTAAGCTGGGTCACAGCAAATTTTACTTTAAACCAGCAGTGCATTTCGGCCAACTTACATACAGTACAACAAATCCCATGAGGCTTTCACATTACCATCAGCAAGCCTGAAGGGTAAATTCCAGAAAATCCCCCCAAGGAAAGGCCTTGCCCATATGAAATTAGGGATATGGAATCATAGGATCCGGTTTTGCTTTATTGTAACTTTTACTGAGCTACTCATAGTAAATTACTAACCCCGTTTTTAACCCCTTTCCTGGATGGACAAAATAATTGTATGTACAGCTGCTTTGGGCAGATAAAAGAACTCTTATTCTTGCTAAGCTTTTAATTACAACATGTACAATTTGAGCTTTGTGGATAACTAAGTAGACTTCACAATATCATGATGCTTTTTACCACATGTGTTATATTGTGCTTTTGTATTGTCTAGATTTGTCTTAACCCAGGCATTTTATTTGTTCTTTAGCCTCTGAAGAGTGAGGATGCAGAATTAGATGATGATGAGACCTTGTTAGATTCTGCTCCCAATGTGCAGGAAAGGAAGGTGAGAATTGGGGTATATGTTCCCAACTGTGCCTACATTTGAGGTCCATCAAGAGTTAGGTCATAGGCATTAACTTTTCTACCAAAACTACATAACAGAAATGAATAGCCAAGCTGTATCCACTGGCAGATACCAAAGGAGTTCAGATAACATCCATAATTTGGAACATAGATGACCTGACAACAAAATTAATGGGCCTTATAACCATCCTTCTGATTCTGGAATAGCAGCCTGCAGGCTTCAGCTGACTTCATTTCTTCTTTCTCTCTATTTTGAAGAATGAAGAATTTATATTGCAGCCAAAAGACAAATTATCAGTTCCTGAAATCTCAGTCAAGCCTCCTGTGGGAGAGGTGAGTTTTACTTCTGGACAATACTTTTCGCACCATAGTTTGTAAAAACAAAACTGGCAGCAGGTCAGCGGGGTGGGGAGTACATATATCCCTTTCCGTTTACTCTAATGCAATTGCTGGAGAGCAAGCAATGCCACTATGCTACATTCTATAGTAGTACAGTGGCTTGAAAAGTGGGGTGCCACATTTTACAAGGTAGCTTAAGAAACCAAGTCTTGTGTTTCATGGGCTGACAAACTTACTGCATAAATGTGTGTGTGCCTTAGCGCTTCATAACTTTTGTTTTTGCAGCAAGAGACTAATCTGAACTCTGCTGCTAGAAATTTTGAAATGATTAGTGCAGTAGCTCTAACTGTGAATCATTTTCTGGTACTATTATAAACATCTCTGATTAGAAGACCATAGAAGTCTCACTGGATCATAAGCATATCTTGTCCAGATTCTGTTTCCAATTTAGGTTCTAGTAATCTTTAATATATGTGGGGTAGGGGACATGATCAACAAAGAAAAAGATTGGTCTAGATTAAAACACACAGGCACATACAGTGGGGCAAAAAAGTATTTAGTCAGCCACCAATTGTGCAAGTTCTCCCACTTAAAAAGATGAGAGAGGCCTGTAATTTTCATCATAGGTATACCTCAACT